ACTCGTCTGCCCTCTGCTCCACAGGAGGTGGATGGTGTTTGTTATCACCTTCTTTCGTGTTGGGTTGAACATTTTCCCCCAGATTGCCAGTGTTGACAGGCTGTGAAGCATCATCTACTGGGCAAAGAGTGTGGTTGCATTCTCAGACACCCAAGAGGTGGGAATGGAGGAGTGGAAATTCCAACACAGCACCCACACCTTACTGGTTGTTTCAACATCTGTGGCCAAAGGCAAGGGGGACAATGGATACCATGGATATTCCATAGTTCTCTGAGGTGTGCCAGGCTGCTCAAGGATTTACACAGCATTTCCTTTCCTCCTTCCACCTTCCCTCCAGAACTCCTGGTTGGTTTGTGCCTTTCCCCTTTTGTTCCCATCCATGGTTTCCTTCATGTGCTGCCCACACCAAAGTGGATTACAGAAGTGAGGTCAGCAACATTTTTGAACCTTACCCTGCCACTGTTTTTCCAGAGAGAAGAAATGTCATGTGTACCTTAGCCTTGCAAAAGAGTTTTAATGAAATGAAGCTTTCTGCAGTGATGTTACTCAGATATGTTCCATCATTTGCTCCTGGGCTGGCACCTGCAGTGCCAGGAGCAGTGAGTTCACAAGGTCTCATGGTTTGGCATGAGAGACATTTAGGGAAGTGATGCAAAGTGTGCCAGCTGTGGCCTTGCAATGCAGAAAAGAAGGAGGAGGGAATAATTTATTTTTCCATCCTTCAAGGAAGAAAGATAATGAGCTTTGCAGGGGAAGGAAGGATGTTTCAATTTGGGCCTCAAGCATACCTGGGCCACCAGGAGAGGAAAAAGAATCCCAAAAGGAAGCCAGAAGGGGCAAAGATCCTATACTAAGTACTTTAAAATTGCACGCAGACCTTGGGAATTCTTTGACTGACTGTAATTTGGAGTTTAATTTTATTTATTGCACTTTATGTGACACTGCACAATTCTCTGGCTGTTTAACAAGGATAGGCAGCCAACTCAGCTCACTACTCACACATTTTTATTCCCTAAACATAACTGTGTGCTTAGCAAAGTTTATTTTGCCAATTTCTGTTCTCTTTGTTGTGCCGGTGTTTAGCATTTATATAATGTTTCTTATAATGAAATAAATTACCAGTACCATGCCAAAAGTTTTTATTAAAATATCAGAAAACTGTAAGCAGTTTATCAGAAAACTGTAAGCAGTTTATATAAGTTAGATGGCGCTCCAAGAACATAAACTACAAATCACTGAGGCTTCTAATGAGCTTTTATATGGCAAGGGAATCAGCCTGCACCAATGCCATCCATAGAATTATTTAGGCACCATAATGCTTATAAAGATCAGTGGCTCCTTCCCCAGAGGAAGGTTTAATTGCACCAAATAGAAAATATTTTCTATATTCTGCATCGCTAAAATAATGCTAGCAAGTAATAGAGTTGTCTGTTCTAGCTGTTAAGATTCACTGTAGGCATATTTATTAGATATTTTATGGCAAAAGTCATCATGTAAGTGTGTTATCTCTTTGTGCCAGATATTTAAATTGATGTCAACTTCTCAAACAATCTTCTCTGCAAAGAGTAAATGCAGATTTTCTATAAAATCAATTCTCTCTTGCAGCTGGAAGAATTTGGACTGGGCATGATAGACACCCCTTTCTTTCTCTCACAGTTGCAAATCCTGGTGTCTCCATCCATTTCCTGCACACCTCTCTCACTTTGAATTTAAATTGATCCTGCTGTTTTCATGTAAGACTGTAAGCTACCCAAAAAAGCAAACACACACAGTGTGTCTTAACAGTGTAAATATGTTGAACAAATGAAATATGCTGGGATGAACATTCTTGAAGCAAATCTATTCTCAGCAGTTACTTCTTGCCTCTTAGCCTGTCACAGGCATTCCCAGGGCATTATCACAACAAATGATGCAAGTCTGAAGTTCATCTGCAGGGTTAACAGCTCAGGAGGCAAACTTCTGGCAGTTTCTCACTGTGTTTCTCCTCTGTGTGCAGAGGATTTTGCTGTGATAAATGCTGATAAACCTTAGACAGGTGTCAGAGGGAAAATGGGAAGAAGGGATTTTATGTTACGTGCTAAAACTGCATTTGTTCACAAAACAATTAGTTCCACGTATAATTAAAATTATTAAATATAAATCAGCTCAGGAGCTGTTTTATGCTCAGTTCTCACTTCCTATTCAGTTTGAGCATGGCAAAGAAGCGTTGGTGGTCCCTGCTCAACCACCATTCCCTGCGTCCAAAGCTCCTCTGGTCATGCTAAAATGATGGGCCATTCCCTTTCCACTTGGCAGGGTTTCCCTTGCCTCCTTTCTTCCTTACATTTTTATCAGCAGTGACATCACTGCCAAACCTTGTGCACATCTGGGCAAGAGTTCATGCACATTATCAGCAAGCTTGTCTTGTAGATTTGCTAATCATTTCCATATAACTGTACAATTTAGGGGAAAAGGGAAAGGCTTGTAAGTGAGGGGCCAAATGTCTGTTCCTGTCACTTACTCAGGCCTTGGGTTTCAACCTTGATGTCTTCATAGCTGCCATCAGAAAAATGAACATTTCCAAAAAACTGCTTTTGTTAATAATTTGCTGACAGTATTTGCATAAATAATTTGATATGTTAAGTGATTAAAGTGGTGAGCATGGAAACACACATTTTCCATGAAACATTTTGGATTTTTATTGTTCAGGACATTTTTTATTTTCATAAATATAATAATAAGGTACAGAGTCATTATCCCAAATAAACCTCAAATACGAAACAATTTGCTGGAAGATAGGGCATTTTAAATAAATCTACAAAAATTAAAACTCTTTGTGGAACTTGTTTGTGAAATGGGGAAAAGCTGCGTGGGTGTAAAGAGATTTTGTTGGGATTTGTGTTTGCATTTTTATTAAAACAGCTGTGGGGTTTTTTTTTCAAAGTAAAATACTCATGTATTGAATACTCTTCCGAGATAAACATTGTTCTGCTAAAAAATTATCCTAACAGAAAAATTTTAGAGTAGAAAAAGAATCTGTGTAATATGGAATTCCCTTTGGCAAAAGCAGTCTGTTTTATATTGACTTTGATTCAGAGGCTAAACTACATTTAAATATTTTACAGCAATACTGCCTTTAAGTGGGTTATAAATAATTCACTCAATAACTGAACAGAGGTCTCTGTGGAGTGCAAAGTCTCTACATCCTAATGGGTAAATTTAATAGAGTAAAGCAAACTTCCAAGCTTTCAGTTTTTGGAAAACAGATTACAGGAGGTGTGACATGCTGCTCTGTATAAGAGAAACAGAACTAAAAATAAAAGCACAGGGAGTGCTTAGACATTTTGTGTAATTATTTCTGAGGAGTCACGTTGCACAGTAGCATGGCCTGCAACATTTTGCTGCCACTTATTTCTTTAGAAAAAGCTGGGATTTTTATTTTCCTGCATGTTGTACGTATACTTTAAGTTTCTCATATTTGAAATCTTAATAATCTTTCTACTATAAAATATGTATCTTGAGATAAAAATCCAGATTCTCAAATTCTAGAAATTAATCTAGCCACTGTGACTTATAAAGCCTTAAACAAAACCCAAATCCAAAAATGAGACAATCCCTACAGCCTCAGCATCTTCCCTTCCCCCATTTAACATTAAGAGAAGGTAAAATTACAAAATATTGCAAATGAAAGAACAACACCTTAGAAATAATTCCACAAAATACTCAGAGCTTTTTGTTACAACTATAAGAGCCAGAAAGATACATGAGTGCCATATGATGTACTCCTAACAATCATCACTTTCACATAAATACTCTTCAGTACATGGCAGGAATGTAGAAATGCCATAACTCCAGTTATCCTTGGTTTCCAGTTTTGTTGCTATGCCAGTTATCTCTGTTCTAACTGTAGTGTAAATCTTTTATTTTGTGTGAAGACTGCAGATCTGTACATAGATGATAAAGTAAGAATGATGGATGATATTGCAAGTCTTTTCCCAGTATTTATAAAGTTCTTGAGGCTGTTTCTATTTAAAAAAAAACTAAAAATATAAATTAAATTAGTGTTAAAAGCAATTTTTAAACAAAATCTTATGATGTAATTGTGTAAAAATATATTGTCAGACAGTAATAAAATATAAACATTATTGCTATTATTTAAAGGCTGTTGAGGAATATGGAAAATACCTGTGTGAGGAATATGGAAAATTACTTTTATTGTGGCCTTTGTCAGTTCTAAGGTAATTTAAAACATATCTCAGTTCTGCCTCCCTTTATGATATATCTCTGAGAGGAAGCAGCACAAAGCCAGTCTTGAGTAAATAACAAAGCCAAAATGTTGCGAAAAGTCACCAAATAAAACCAGTTCTAGAATGTCAAAGGCAAATGCCTTCAAACTTTTGAGTAACTCAGACTGTACCTGACTGGAAAACATGACCTGGGAGTAAGGATACCAGAGAAACCTTTTAAAAGTGTGTCCTCATGAGAACAGTAAAATAGAAAATGCTTGCTGATCCCTTCCCTTCCCTTCCCTTCCCTTCCCTTCCCTTCCCTTCCCTTCCCTTCCCTTCCCTTCCCTTCCCTTCCCTTCCCTTCCCTTCCCTTCCCTTCCCTTCCCTTCCCTTCCCTTCCCTTCCCTTCCCTTCCCTTCCCTTCCCTTCCCTTCCCTTCCCTTCCCTTCCCTTCCCTTCCCTTCCCTTCCCTTCCCTTCCCTTCCCTTCCCTTCCCTTCCCTTCCCTTCCCTTCCCTTCCCTTCCCTTCCCTTCCCTTCCCTTCCCTTCCCTTCCCTTCCCTTCCCTTCCCTTCCCTTCCCTTCCCTTCCCTTCCCTCCCCTCTCCCCTCTCCCCTCTCCCCTCTCCCCTCTCCCCTCTCCCCTCTCCCCTCTCCCCTCTCCCCTCTCCCCTCTCCCCTCTCCCCTCTCCCCTCTCCCCTCTCCCCTCTCCCCTAATTTCTTTAAGTTTTTAGATTTTCTGGTTTTGTTTTTGGGTTTTTTTTTTAGTTTATTTTTTAAAAGCTATCTTTTGTTAGATTCTAAGGAAATCCCAATTCAGGCCAAGGGGAGCTGCAGACGTGGTTGATATGCTGAGTACACTGATATTTTCTGCCATGCAACCATGCTCCCATTGTATGAACCAGAATCCTTAGGAAATATACAGTACAGAAATATTAAAACATAATGGGAAGAGTATTGGGAAGCTTGTGGGAGCCAGCCAGCAACCCACACAGAGCTGCTGATGTCCTTTTATTATCCGATCTGTGCCAGAATGCAACGTCTCCTCCCCTGGATTCATTTTCACAGTTGCTCCTGGCAATGTGGGGAATTTTAAAATGTCCATACCTCATCCATGGCATAAACATTATTTTTATACTTTAGAAGCTTCTACTTGTGCCTAGGAACAAAAAAAAAAGCACTGTTGGTATTTTGTCAGTTCATTTTTAACTGATAATTTTGAAAAGTTAAAATTGTGAAAAAAAAATTAGGGCAAACTCCTTTTTGGCCTAAAAGAATGATTTTAACCTGCCTTCAATGTTGTAACTTAAGAAGGAATATTTTAAATGCATGTTTTGAGTGTGTACAGTGTTTTTGACAGCACTCAATGGCACAGTGCTGCAATTTCCTCTGACCTCATCTGTGAGGAGCTCTGAGGGAGGAGATTAAAGTACAAAAGCTTTTTGGAACTGCAAGGAGCAGCCACCTAAATTGCAATGCATGGGGAAAGCTGGAGTACCCATGCAAAGAATGGCTAAAAACCACTGAAGCCCTACAAAGCTGCTAAAACGTCTGCCTTTTCACCCAATGTTTAAAAAGTTCCTGTGAGTGCCAGAGTGGGGCAAGAGGATGCCTTTTTTTTTTCCTAATTATTCACCTCCTGTCACAGTATTTACCTTTCTTCTTGGGAGAAATCCCAATTAAACTGCTTGCTGAGGAAGTGTTCATGGTGCACTGCAGTTGCACATTGTACTAAGAAATCCTCATGGATGTAAGTAAACACTTCTTTAAAGAGCTGGTGGTATCTGTCAGTCCAAGAAAACAGCAAACTCAGGATTTTGTTGTTAATATTTGCAGTCCTGCAAAGAAAGAATCCATTAAAGAGGGTACCTAAAGCACAGAGAGCAGTTCCTGATATTTTCCTGTATACTCAGATTCCTACTACTAATCAATTTGTCTCTAGCCCTAGGAAAGCTCTGTCCTCCTCAGTAAGAATACCTGTGGTCAAGTTATGTGTAAAATAGCAGGAAATACTCTTTTTCTCCTTATCTTTGCCCAAGTGGCAGAGTGAACAGCAGATCTATGAATATTTTCTCTTCATAGGGTATTTGTTTTGATTTTGTTCTTCTTCCTTCAGACTGCCTGCTCAGTCTATCACCTGTAGGAGACAACCACGGTTCCTTGTGAATTATTTCCCACCACCAGGCTTTCATGAAGAGGCCTGATTTTCAGCACACAGAACGGATTGTCTTTAACATTTACTCTGAGAAACTTGGGCAGCAGCTGTTCCATAAATGCTATAGTCTTTATTTCTGTCCTTATGGAAATGCAGGAACATTCTTCTGACTGTGACATGCCAGCCATAAGACAGGAGGCTCCTGGGGAAAAGTGGAGAAGTGTAGATTGGATCCTCTCCCTGCAAAAGTGCTCAAAGCAAAGGCTGTCTGGTGGATACTCAGGAGAGAAATATTTCTGGAGGAAAAGACACAAATCTCAGGATTCTACTTGTTGTCACACTGATCTTTTCCAGACTTGACAATTTTGAAACAATCTCCAGAGCAAACTAGGCATTATGGCAAAATACCTCCACAGTATACTGAGTTGATTTGTCTTGCAAAATAGAAATTTATCTTTTGCACAATTAAAGACACATAAAAAGGTGAAGTTAAAGATGTGACTTTCTACAAAACCTCCTCTTGCTGATACTGTCACCTAGGTGAATTTTAAGTCTCTTTTTAAAAATCAAACAAGATTACAATCCTAAGAGCTAGCAACAATTTTTCCTTGTATTCTGAAGAGAAATGTCGGTAATGTCTTTGTAAAAGCTAAGTTAGAAATTAAGCTGCTTCTAACAGCAGACAATATTCTCTGTAACTTCACAAGGGTTTTGGGTGCATGTTGGCCAAGTTTATACTATTGCTTTTTTTTTTCATTGCTGTAAATATTGCGTTGAAGGTCCTTTTAAAATCCAGGCAAAGTCTATTAGCACACCCAGCTATGCCGTGAGGAGTGAGCTATGCAGTACAGGAGTTGAAAATGAGGACAAAATGTCATCTATCAAGAAAAAAAACTCTTGGAAAACTCTAGGAAAGGTTCCAGACCCTAGTGAAGCCATGAGGAATTGAGCTTATTCTGTCTCTCTGTATAATTATAGACAGGTAGAGTTGAAGACTTAAATTTCTGCCTAGATAAAGATAGTGATTATTTTTTTTTTTTTAGAAGCCAAATAGAAAAGTTCCTCTGCACCGCAAGAAGCCAGATAAAACAAACCATCACTATACAACACAGAGCAACATCCAGCTGGTATTTAGGAATTTTAAAAGAAGATTTCTGATTGTAAAAGATGAGAAGGCAATGCAGCAGCTGCTGCAACGAAAAAAAAAAAAAAAAAAGAAGAAAATCTAGATCTTCTCTTTTCAATGTCCCTATTATCTCTTTATATCTCTTTTCATGTCATATACATATCTCCAACTAAGTAAAAGCAGGAACAAAGGGAATTTATGGCCTTAACACCTTTGTATTCCACTGCAAAGAGGTTAAGAAAAGCAAAAAGAATTTTAATTATTTTCCCTTCTTCTAGCTCTATTCTGAGACTGTTATTGTGGGCTGTTGTAAAGCAAAAGAGGAAAAGGAGAATTTATTAAAGGTATTGCAAACTCTGTTATCACTAAGATCTGCAACCTCCTGAGAGATTCTGGAAGATTTTGACACCAATACAGACGAGCAGAGATGAAATGCAAATATTTTGGGGGAACCTATTATACAGAATTCAGGAAAGCTTTAGAAAAGAGTGAAAGAAACTTGAAAAGGAACATATAAACTGACATTGAGGTGTGCAGTTGGAAAGCTGCAAGAAGAAGGGGTTGGATAGCAACTGCCTCTTTCCCTGGCACACGAAGTCAGAGTGCCCCTTGATTGCCATACTAATTAAGGGTCTCATTAGGCTTTCAGTTGGAAGGTTAAATTTCTTCTAAGCTGCATGTGGAATCCTATCCTTTCAGATTTGCCTAAAGACCTTCAGGATCATCAGCTGCCTTAAAGAAAAGATTCTGGAACAAAAGAGACAGTGCTGGCCATCCCTTTTCCTGTACAGCTTTAAAGGCCACAACACACTTTCTTATTATGATTCTTTTTTTTACAGCTGCATGTACCTTGACATTTTGGCTCTCTCACTAGCCCAGCTGGGTCATTTTAATCTGGAATCAAAAGAGGAGAAAGCAGTTGCTCAGTTTCACATTCTTTTTGAAGGCTATCAACAACACCCTGCAAATAGTGGCTAGGAGTTTTCCTTTCAAACCAAATGGACTGCCTCATTCTTTCTTTTGATCACGCAGAATTCCTGAACCTGAACTGTATCAATTGGAACTATTGGTCACAAAATGTGCTCGCTCAAGAAGCTGTTGCTGTCTTCACATTTAACTCACATCCTGTAAAAAGCAACACACACCCTGGACTTTTGCCCATGGACCATCACATTCCTTCACTCTTGCAGAGCCAGCTTCAGAACTTGCTGTATCCATCTATTGCTCCTAGAACAAAAAGTAAGCACTGGTCTTCACTTTGTCCCTGCAGTTTTTAAAGTGCAGCACACCCAGGAATGTGCACTCAGCTCTGGGGACCCTCATGCACCGTCAGAGTCCAGTTACAAAGCTAAGAACATTCAGCAGCTGGTCCCACAGGAGAAATTCTAGAAGAAAGAGGCAATGCTGCAATTCACTTTCCTTTTGCAACCTTATAAACTGCACAGCCAACAGTGAGACAATTCATCTTCCTTCACATGCAGAATGACACGTCCTTTCCTTCTGTGAAAAATGTTTTTGTGATTCGTGTCAATTGGGAGTGGAATCAGCAATTGAAACTTTCTGACCGAATAGCCAAATAAAGCATTGAAATAGAAGTAAAGAGATGAGGTAGCAAAACGACTGATGAATAGAATAGAATAGAATAGAATAGAATAGAATAGAATAGAATAGAATAGAATAGAATAGAATAGAATAGAATAGAGGAAGTTGTGGTAAAGCTAAAGGGATATTGCAACAGAGAGACTAAATGCTTATGTATAATAAAAATCTTGACACACTTGACAAAAATCACATAGCAGACACTGGTAAGGCCCCCCTCCAGATGACCACACAAAGGACAGGAAGCCAATGACCACAGGAAAGATTATGAAATTGCTGATCCCAGCTTATTGATATTTGCTGATTCGGACTAACGCAAGCACATTGGAAAATACTTTGTAGGCTTAAAAACAGTTTATATACTTTGCCAAACTTTTAAGTTGCGTGTGCTGTTAGTGGAGCGGTTTGGCTATTGAAATTTTGTATCACTTCTATGCGGGGTTTTGTATCACTTCTATGCGGGATGCTCTATTTTACAGAGCATCCACAACAGAACCCCTTCCCTGCCCTGCCGAATGGTGCTCGGCTTTTTCCTGGGCACTGACACAAAAATGGACCACACGATGGCGGTGTGGACCTGCCAAAGAACAAAACGCACCTCGCCCATCTAAAGTACCGAAAGTGCAGATCCAGCTTGAAATCGCCACCGCGCTCAAATCAACAGTCAGGACAAGAGGATTTCTCTGCTCTCCTGAGTACAAACCCTTATTTGCCCCACACTCAAGCGGCAACACAAACTCCTTTACACTAATACATTTTTTTCACTCTCGCAGAGCTCGGCTACAAAGTTGAAACCATCTGGCAAAAGCAAAGCTCAGATAAGCGTTGGCTGAGGATGCTGGTGCTGTCAAGTGAAATTTTATAGATTTATAGTTATGTTTTATCCCCCCCCCCCCCTTGCATTGTTATCAGGGAACAGCCTGGGTTTGGGACATTTGGGAGGGTTGGCTAGCTACTGTGGCAACACCTGACCTCCAATGAAGATTTAAAGAAGTGAACTCCACCACTGGACAGCAAAGGAGTCGATGGACAGAGCTTTGAGAGGAGCTAAAGGGTTAAAAGACAAAACCTCCATTGCGTGAGTGGGCACACGATGAGAAAGATCCTTTACTCCCAGCTCTGTAATATTTTCTCTATTCAATCTTCTGTTATGTTTTTGATAAGGTTCTAACAAATTTTTCCAAATTTTTGGAAGTGACCAGCATTTCACACAGTAGAGTGTGTACTGTTAGGTCTTTGGATGCGATGGAATTTGTAAGCAGCAAGAGCTTTCTCAGCTGGCACTTTTGTGAGCTGTGTTTTTGCCAGATGGTTTTGTGAAAAATGCATATTATATGGCTCTACGCAGATAGTTACTATATGAATTATGTTATATTGATTAGCTGTGCTGTATTAACATTTTAATAGTATGGTAAATGTAGTTTTATAGTTAAAATGAAGCTTTAGTAGTTAAAATAGAAACTACGTATGTGGTTTGTTTTTGGTTTTTTTTTAAGGAATGAGATACTTGCTTCGAGGTAACCATCACAGAACACCTAAATCTTCCAGAGAAGAGGAATTTATGGTTTTCTTATCAGAAGAAGCTAATTTCTTCAGGCCTTGCTCGGACTTGAAGACACTGTGGTGATTAAAGGAAACAGTTGACATATAACAGTTTCTTATTTTAAATAGAATGTATGCATAACCATGAAGTATGTATGAATATGCAATAGTGTATTGTTTTAAGGTTTATTCTTTTGTTCACAAGGTATGCTTGTTCTGGGTTAAGTGCCTGAGAGCATCCGGACATCCGTAAGTTTTTGCTTTTTATTGTCTTGTAATTGTCCTAACTCTAAATTTTTATTCTTCTAATTGTATTGCTATTTTTATAACCATTTTATTATTTCTAAAAATTTTTAAAAACAAGCGGTTGGTGTTTTTCACAGTTTCAAGCTCGTCGCTGGACTCAGCCAGAGTGAAAAGATTTATTAGCACAGAAAAGATTTACTCGCGTTGCATTTGAGCGTGGTGCAAATAAGAGTTTGTACTTGAAAGGGGACGGTCAGCGAGATCTTTTTTTGTCCTGGCAGAGTGGATTGGAGAGCAGTGGGGTTTCCAGCTTGGAAGCAAGGCAAGGAGCGGCTCCTTCTTTTGCAAGCGCACATCGCCACCGTACGGTCGGTGTTGTGGGGGGATTCATCTCCCCCTTTTCTGCACACAGCCGGACACACTGTGTCGCTGTTGGACACGAAAATAAGCACACAAACGCCCAGCAAGTTCAAAGGCCAAAAAACAGAGTGTTTTATTCGAGCATCTGGTGTTTATAGAATTCCAGAGGTGCCCGTGTTGCCTCGCAACAGTCCATCAATTCTCTCCTCCCACAAAGAACGCAAAACAATCATTA